ACTCTTGTAGAAGCATTCAGCACTGTTTTCTGCCTGTTCACCTGCTTCTCTTAGTTTATGAAACATATTCTTGTTCTCCTCTTATCTCACACTTTCTCATGCTTGTTTTTTGTTTGTTTGTTTGTTTTTGTTTTTGTTTTTTTTACAGACTTCTCTCCTTGACCTGCCTCTAAGTACTGGCATATCCCAGAGGTTAGTCCTAGACACTTTCCCCTTCTTCTTTCTGTAGGTGGTCTCATTCAATGTACTGTTTTAAATACTGTCTACATGTGAATAATTCTCAAATTTATGTTTCTGATTTAGACTTCTCTCCTAAATAGACTTAGTATGTCCAAAATAGACTTCTCCCATATTGTTCTTCTCCCAGTCTTCCCCATCTGAGTAACTGGCACCTAGGAGATATCCTTAAAACCTGTTTTCCTCCTTATCCGCCATGTCTAATCTGTCACCACGTTCCTTTGGTCTCCAAAATATCATTTGGATTTGTCCCGTTTTACACCTTCATTTCTACCAGCCTGGTCTCAGTCACCATCATCTCACATGGCCTACTGAAATAGCTTTTAGTTGGTCTCTGCTTTCACTTGACCATCTTCTTCAGTCCATTCTCCTACCAGTAGCCAGAATCGTCTTTTTAAAATGTCAATGAAACCATGACAGTTGTCTGCTTAAAATCCTTCAATAGCTTTCCTTTGCTCTTAGTTATAAGGTTTAGAGTCACACCTCATGAGTTTGTTTCTATCTGTCCAGTCTCATCCCCACATCAGCCTCTGCTCCCTTTGCTCAGGATGCTGTCGCCACACTGGCATCTTTTCTTTTCCTCCAAAACACCAGCTCTGTCCTTCTCTAGGTTGTATTTGCTTTTCCCTCTGTTTGGAACGCTCCTATTCCATCTCTTAACAATGCAGTTTCTTCTAATCATTCAGATTTCAGCTCCCTAGATGGCCATTTCCAAGCCACCCAGTCATAGCACTTGGCCAAACCTGAAAGTCATGTTACTAGTTCACTTGTTAGTCTTTTCTTACTAGAATGTAAAGTCACTGGAAGTGGAACTCTGTCTTACCTCCACTGTACTGTCAAACAGTGCCTTACACATACCACGTGCTCAGTCAAGTTCTGTGCACTGTGCAAAATGTTTGATTCCCTTAAACTTCTAAAGGGGAAAAGTACATTAAAGATTGCATTGTGGTCATTGTGACACATGATTCTGGGTATTTGGCTCACAAGTACATTATTGATACCATTGTAAAAACTTAAATAGGATCTGAGCATGAGTGTTAATTTCCTACTTTTGATTATTATATTTGGTTATGCAGAAGAACGTCTTGTCTGTAAGAAATGTGCTCTGCTATCAAAGGGCTGGGGGGGAATGTGTAATGTACTTGTCAGTCAGTTAGCATTATTATTTGAGAGATGATCATGGGCTTTGGTTTACAGACTTGAGGTTCAAATCCTGGCTCTCACTGATGTGTGATTTTGGATGCATTATTTAAATTCTCTGAAGATCTTAAGAGCCACTTTGCAATGCTGTTAGGGGGGTTAAATGTAAGAGTAGCTTGCTTCCCACAGAGCACAGCCTCAGTCACGCTTGCCATTGTTCCTCGGTGTTCTCATCTCTCAGGATATTTCAACCCATTAAATATTTTGACTCTGTCGAGGAATTATTAGGGATCCTTTAATAAAATAATGAATGCTAAAAAAAGCTTGCTTTTGTTCCTTCTGTTCGGTTAAAATTCAAATATTTAAAAGTCCTATTCTCATGTTCAGTGCTGTGACTTCCTTTATAATATAAACAATTTTTTTCATTAATTACTTTTATAATAGCTGATAATGTAGGCTAACTGTATACCACATATGTTATTTCTGTCTTCAAATTAGAACTTTAGAGCCATATTCAGCAAGGTAGTTTTTTAATATCCTAAAACTGTATACTTTCCAAATAGGAAGTAGAGCACTTCAAAATGATTTCAATTAAAATGTGGATTCATCTTGATTAACATGGTTAATTTCTGTGTTCTTGGGAAGTGTCAGTGAATCTGTGGCATTTAAATAAAATGTGTTAGTTTGTATTATTACTGATGTAAACGCACACAAAAACGGCGTAGTGAAATAAGTCGTTACTTAAAATTGGTGATTTATTTTGGTTTCTCTCTTTTTCCTCCCCTTTACTCCCCATTGATGGACATGTTATTAGTAAACATCTTGACCAAAAACGGAAAGGGTGTTC